TTAAATTTTCCTATTTTGTACCAAATATTGGATTCCTTTACTTATCTGGAGTTCTGAATCTTTTCATTCGGATCGGATACTCTGGAGGATTCCGTCGGCCGGAGACAATTTATCCCACCATACTGTGGGCCCATTAAAGGACGATAAAAACCCGGCCTTCTTGGCCCAGTCAAGCTTTAAGGCTTGGTGATTTTGTATAGATTAATTACAAAAGCTTGATTTAGTATATTTGTAGCTTTTTTTGTTTTTAATTTTAATTTTTAAATTTTAATTAATTAAAATAAAAAATATTAATTTATTAGATATAAAATTTTAAAATAAATACTCAAAATTTTAAACTTAATTTATTTATAAAATTATTTAATTTTATTTTACTACATGTTTTTTTTTTCTTTTGACAGTAGGAAATGATTATTGTTAGTGTTAATATCTGTTTGAACTTGGGAAGGATCAAACCACGGAAGGAGGTGCAGTTCATTTGCTGCTCAAAGGCAATGTGACCACCACTGAGCCACATGAGCAGTGGCGGAGCCAAGGGGATGCGAAGGGGCAGCTCACCCCCCTGAAATTTGAAAATGTTGTAAATTAATATATGAAAAATTATCTAGTCTCTCTTAAATTTTGAAAATTTTAGTATTTTGCCCCCCTTGAAAAATTTTTTTACCTCTGCCCCTGCACATGAGGGTCTACTTTATTTTACTACATATTTAGTTGAAGAGAATAGAGGAGAGGGAGAGACTTTTGCCTTCTCTCTCTTCTCTAGAATTCTCCAGCTTCTTCTTACTAAACCCTTTGCAAACATTTGTTTTTTTGGGGCTCAAAAGCCGTCAAGCTTCATGAGTTTTTGATGCTTGGAAGCCCGTTGGCTTTTCAAGCAAGGTGGAGTTGGCTTTTCATGCTCCTCTATCCGTTGATCACCTTGAGTGGTCTATCAGTTTGTTTTGTGACCCTATCCCGTTGTCCTTTTTTTCTTTTTTTTTTTGCTGTTTTTTTGGTTTTCTTGTTTGTTTGCTCAGATCTGGTGGCCAACAAGACAGTAAAACAAGTATTAGGCATTGGTCGCTGGTTGCTTGGATCTCCTTGCCACGTCATCCTGGAGAGCGAGCTCATCTGCAAAAGTAGATTGAAAGACATCCAATTTGTCTGGACTGAAATGATCGACCAAAGGAATTTATAAATTAGGTTCCTTAGAGGTTGTTCATGTAAATTTTCACTGTCTTTCTTTATTTATCCTTGTTGAACTGGATCTATTCTTGATTGTAATCTTCAGTTGCGCTTTGCATTCTAACAATTGTTCTTATCGTTTAGATAAGAATTTTTTATGTAGATGTCGCATTTATCTTAATATACGAGTTCTCCTTAATTCAAAAAAAAGAATAGAGGAGAGAGAGAGGAAGAATAAAATTTTTCTTGATTTAATTATAAAAAAATAGAGGGTAGGAGAAGAAAAAA